TTTTTATAGCGAGTGTGTCAATGCCTTATAAATAAGACACGCTGACACGTATCTTTACTAGGAACGTGTTCATATATTTTTATGTACACTACTTTTGACAAAATACTAATGCGGTCGAGTGTGTAATAAGCCTGGGACGAAGATTTCATTGTTCAAAGTAGGGAATATCTTCATTTTTTGACACCCTGTTCAAATTAAAATAGCTTCATTACCCTTATTTGTATTGACATTTTCGTGTAATCACCACGACATAATGTTTGTGTAAACAAATTAAACAAAATGTAACAAAGTCACCGAAAGTGCAAAACAATTTGGGTTTACAATTGTGTCAAAACGCGTACGGCTGCCAGTATTTAAAGATGTTTTAGATTTATTGTTTGTTTTGAAAACGATAGTTAGCGTGTGCGCTCCGAATTACCACTGCGTACGCGAAAATCCGGAACACATGCGCAATTTACATTTTAGTGGAAATTTAATATACCTAAAACATATTTGTTATTTTACGATAAACAATACAATATTTAGTTTTTATCAAGTTGCGTTTTTCAGTAATTATATTTAAGAAGGAAATGTGTATATCTTTTTAATATTCCATTAGTAGATTGTTGTTTATTCGACCGTGTGAGCCGTGTTATTTTGACTGTTGGCTATTTACACGATTGAACCGTATTTATGTTGTAGTGAGTGGAGTTTTAATTAAAATCTAGCCAAATTGACAATATGTTTATTGTTATGATTGTTATATGATAAAGTAACTTCGCAGCAAATGGTAGGATCGTACATTTGATAGACTGTGATGATTGGATAATTAATTCTATGTGTGAAAAAGTCTATACTCCATATTAAGCGGTTGTCTCGAGAATGTTAAAACACAGTCCCCCTATGCCCGGTCTGGAAACGGTCATAGTATTAGGTGTGAATTCCCTGACAAAGGCGCGTTGCTGGTATGGGTAATCCATTGTCACGTGATCAGTACACAGCCGGTCATATCATTAACATATCATTAAAAATTGGTTGGCTGATTTGTTATTTATCACACCGCATTTTATTAATGTTAAATTGGGTGATTGTTATGGATGCTCTTTTTGATCGTAAATGCAAATACATGTACTAGAGGTACTGTGGTTAAAAGAAGAAAACAATGTTTGTTTCGACTTCATATTATGTGCTACCATTTCACACAGGTTTGCCGAATACTTCTATCAGAACTATAAGTTAACGTCCCCAACTGAAAATAATGCATCGGATATACATGGTTATTTCACAGTTCATATTTTTGTAATATGAATATAATATTTAATAATACAATACAAGCTTGCATAATATGCATATACAGTGTTTACCGGTTCAGCCATATGAAATCCGTATACTGTATTACTCATACTCTTATTGACACGCATGTTACAGTTCAAACATGGCGTGATGGATTTACATGTACACAGCCCCGAATCTTAGATACTCATTCATCAATCTGACGTCATTATAAGCCTAAATCTGTCTCTGCACCCTCGGGTTATGCCAGGCTAGTATATAAATGAGGTGTGAATCAATGTAGTGAGAATTAAAGTACCTCTCAATAATATCGTTCTCAGACAAGACACCATGGAATGATGGCTTTCGCTGTTTTTCAATATGATATACTTGTAGAGGTTACCAACCACGTCTTAAAGCGGGCTAGTCGTCACCTGCGCATGCGTCAGATGGCCATATTGTATCATTGTTTTAGCAAGTGTTGTAATTGTCGCTGGGGACCCAATTTCCGCGCATGCGCAGGTGACGACTTCATATACATATTCTATTTTTAACTAGTCAAGATCAGGTTACATTCCCTATATAAGTGTGGCATCAGTTTATAGTATGATGTACCAAAAGGGCATTGCGCCATAGCAACAGATGCTACGTTTTAAGTTTCGTATGTTAGCAGATATCAAGATCCGGCGAGTATATGTCGTATACGTGCATATGCTCATGTAATCTGGAATTATATCCCACGTATTTTCAGGCAATTCGTGAAAATGTACTCAAAATGTTTGAGAAAGTTGGCTATAGATTGCACGACAATGTTTCTTTTTTTTATATTTTCATGGTAACATAAACGTATTCTATTACAGTGTCGTGTTTTACAGTGCCGTTTTATTACATTCGATTAATTTTTGACACTGTTAAAACAAAAATAGAATTTATATCACTTTCTAAAACCCGGATTTGTACACCTTCAACTAAGTCACGATATCAACCTTTTGCTATGACGTCAGCATATGATTTGAGATATGGCTTAAGCCTACTCATAATTTTGAGAACGTTGGTTATAAAGCGCATGACAATTTCATTGGTTTATTGTGTAAAATCATGGAGCCATTGTTCCATGGCACAATGAATTAGCATTCTTTGTTTGTTACAGTGACGTTTTTAGTTTGTTTTTTTTAAACTCGTTATTTTTAGAACAATTTCATAGAACACCGTGACAACGTTGTAGAAAAATTGCATTTTTGACACTTTTAAAAACCCAGATTTTTGAAATAATTCAGAACAACAAACAATACTCCATCATTCACAATATATGATTCTTCCAATCTATGTTACCGGCCTACAATTTGAGATATGGCATAATATCTCTGCGATATGAGCCTACGGTTAAAGCCCGGGTTATAATATTATCCACTAATTGAAAAATCATTAAATACAACCACAATTTTTTTCGAAAATTGTATTGGTGACTCCCAAACTCTTTTTCTAAATCAATTATATTGCCCGGGAGTACAATTTATTGTAAAATAAAATAAATAAATTATGGGTACATGTTAAATGTAAATGAAAAAGTTTCCCGGCTTATTGGTTCGGACCAGTCCACGTGATCGTAATTGGGTACATTCAGACCAGAGACTAAAATCGACTACTATTCTAATTAAAGTGCAAAATTTAAATTAGATGCCACTATATTATTAAAATGCCCTTGCAGCCATAATGTTAATTAGAGTGCCCAATGAATATTAAAGTACTCATTCAGCTATTGATTTCGAGAAACGTCCCCCGTTTTAATAAAATGGTTTCCTGATAAATAATTTGATAGGCTAATAATATCGTTTGCCTGATAAAGCTACGATTGACACCGATTTACGTGAGTTTACTGCAGAAAATTAAGAATCATATTATAACGTTTATTAAAGGTATATTCTATAAGCCTCACCCCTTTGTATCGTTTCGAGGTAACCTTAATGCATTTGTTTCTAGTATGTCAATCTTCTATTCGACTCTGGCAAACTACATACTTTACATGGGGCCGGTAGTATTCTGAATTTAGAACATACTAGTATACTTAACATAAATTACTATTTGGGGCAGTTGTTTTTGCTGATTCAGTGTAATTCATTGACAAATGGATACAAGTTTGGCGTATTTTTATTTATGAACAGGCTTCTACCCTAATAGGAATTGCTATGTGTCTTCGCGTTAGTTACAGACCACCGTTGTTTAAAATTCTGTGTCTCGCAAATCACCGGCGTCCGCCGCTCAAATTTCGTTTCACGTGCTGCAAGGGACTGACACTAGACTGTACACGACGTGATACGACAAATACGACGCTTGCAAGTTCGAAATATTTCACTGAGATGATGATTCATTTATTTTGTTTATGATGTTATTGTTTACTGCATTTTTACTGTATTTTAAAGCGTTTTTTTTATCAGTGATGACGTATGATTGTGCTTCTACCCGGCACAATGTGTGTGTGTGTGTGTTATGTATGACGTCATCGTGATCTATATCCGGCGTGACCTATTATTTTGAAGCTATATATAAATAAATAGATAAATAAATAAATAAATAAATAAATAAATTAATAAGTTGACGACAATAACAGAATAATATATTTATTTTATTTATTCATAAACGCCACATTGTTCAAGTTCACTGTCACGTAATGTAAACACAGAGTTTGAGCGTGACGTCATTCAGTAACCTAGTACTGAAGGACACGTCTTTCATTAAATGGAGTCACCCAGCTAGTACAACGACGTAACTTCCAGCAGCCGATATGGGAACAAACGTTCATTTCTGTGTATCAAAACTCAAGTTCACGGCGGTCGAGCGGGTGTTTGTATTGTGTGTGATGGCGCCATCAGGAGGCAATGTAATTTTTACTTTTGTTTATTATTAGTGTGATATACAAAGACTGATTTCGGGGCCTAAACACAAGTTGTAAACACAAAATTACCTTACAAAAAACACAGCGTATAGAAGTAGTCAATAAACATGAAGTAAAGAAAAATGTATATATATTAGAATGCATTTTCCGTTGAAGAATAGGTCGATTTTTTTTCTGATGAGTGACCGGATAGGATTGAATCAGAACTTGAAGAAACAAAAAAACAGAGAAACAAAATATTAGACACAATACCCAGGACACAATGATGAAGAAAGTCAAACATGAACGCATGTTTTGTAAGTACTCATGAGGCTGGACGCTTCTGTGACGTCAACATGACGTAATGAATGACACCAAACGTGGATGTCGTCGTTGAAATGAAGTTGACAACTGTGTTCATTGTACAGTCGCTTGTCATTTGTAGTACTTATTTATTTACATGTATTAACAAAAATAAAAACGCTACAAAAAGATGGTTTGCATTACGTAGAAAGCTAACATATCATTTTGAGGTAATAGTAATATTCATACAACAGTACTAAATAGATCTAAGTATGCGACAACTCTACGCAGAAATCGAGACGGGAGGTAAATGACCCCTGAATTTATCACATTTGGAATTTGACCTCACTCTATATTTCACTCGATACGACAATTGTGGCGGCTAATTTCAAAATCTTGTTTCTCTGTTTTTTGTATTGTCTATTTACCATATCCCACAATACAATGACCGCGTGACAACTGATTTGTTTTTCATGAATTTGACTATTTCCGACGTCATAGCACGAGCGCCCCCGGGTAACATTTCTCTCGTCACATCCGGGTTCGTGTCATTTTCATATGCATATTAGCACCAGTGATCCAGTGAAAGGTAGGATACGTCTCTCCATTCTGTCTGTTTTGTTTTGGTTCAGCCCATAGAATTTAAGGACTAAAGTGTCATATTAATAAGGTAAATATTGGACTATCACGTAAACGTTTTAGCTTTCTCTCTCGCGACGAATCAACGGAGAAACCATCCCGATTTTCCACAGGACTCAGGTGTACGTAAGCAAAGATGGCCTCCCAGCATAACATATGGCTATGTGTAGTGCACTGATGACATGATTGTGATGAAACGTCATATTTTATTGTTTTGGTAAATTGCCGATCCTCGAACCCCTAAATACGAGTTTAGGTAGATTGATAACAAAAGTCATCTTTGAATGTGTTTATATATCCATGGTTGATTTCCCATCTACCGTAATCATTTCGATGACAAAATCCGGTGAAAACCGGCATTCCCCCTTTCGGTCTCACTTATGTTGAATATGTCATTATAATATTTTAATCTGTTTAATATCGATTTGCCGTAGCTTTTTTGCGCCAACGTCTTATTGAAATGAGACACGAAGGGGTGGTTCAGGTAATTCTCGCTCGATTTCACCGATTTTGTCGTTGTTTCGTGCTCCTGTGCCCTTCGTTCGTGTTTGGTGATATTAATTTTTTTATGCTATGTCATAATTCTGACATTTTCTTTGTGTGTTTGAGTTCTTCGCTTATTTCTACGTGCCCCGATTACCGAGTGGGCCGTAATATCCAATTGTCTGATTTCGTCATCACTACGTCAGCGCCAAGGTTATCACTGACAATTTCCTATTTTGGATGTTTTTTTGGTGAAAAACATATATTAATTTTCAAGTCAAAAGGTGTTAGACTTGCTTTAAGTGAAATTGTAAAATTTGAAACATTCCCTGTTGTAGCTTTCTTACAGGAATCTTATAGGTATTACGATTTGTGCTAGATTTTTATCCTCTTGTTTTGCTGTTTAGTTCTACTCCTCTGTCGTATTAATTTAAGTGTTAAATTGCACAGTGTGTTTTAGATTAATTTATTATTTTTAAAGCTGCCAATTAACCAAATGCTGTTTAAATGAGAAAAAAAACACGTTATTTTTAACCAGGGGGCCCTCTTAATGTCAAAAGGGGCACCGTTTCCTTTACCATACCGAATCTAGTTTAAATACTAAATCACATTTTTTCGTCTCTCTGTTTGCTCTCTTCATTATACTCCTGTCTTTGGATCTAAAAGATGGCGTCAGCGGCGGACAATAAATGGCAGAAAGATGCCGCAGATCAGAACTTTGACTACATGTTCAAATTGCTTATTATTGGAAACAGTAGTGTGGGGAAGACGTCGTTTTTATTCCGTTACGCAGATGACTCCTTCACGTCGGCTTTTGTGAGCACAGTGGGAATAGATTTTAAAGTGAAGACAGTTTTCAGAAACGACAAAAGAGTAAAACTTCAAATATGGGTGAGTAGATTTTGGGTTTTCTTTCCTATGTTAATTTTTCACATTTTTATGAATGTTGGTTTAATGTTAATTCTTGACTGACTCTGACATAGCAACGATGGACATTGTGTTTCTTTATAATGGATTCCTTTTAAGTTTCTATTTTCATTCACTAGCGTATTATATATTAATCTTTCTATTGGGTGTTATTTTGTTGCTGATTCTGACCTTGAAACAATTTTATTCCATTGGTTGATTTTTTTAAAATCACTTTAGGGTTTTTTCATATTCATACTCGCTGTTAATCAGAAGTGACATTGATAAAGTTAGTAGTTTATACAACGTCATATGCATATGAAATGAACGATAATGATTGAATCATAATTCTCAACACGATAGCTTCATTAAGATCGTCCTTGATGATTCAAGCTAAATGGAAGCAGTTGCCATAGCAATAAGAAAGGCATGATAATGAAAATTGTAAACTAAAAGAATCTGTCATTCTTTGCTTGTATTTCCAATCTACAATAAATATTAGTACGAGTACAATTGACTTACGTCAGTCGTCAAAATGCTGATCTTGCTTGCAGCAGTCTGAATGGGAGAATGATAGCAGTTTTTGCATCAATATCATTTGATTTCTAAGCAAAAAAAGAAGAGTTAATTAAATTTGACTCCTGTCAATTTCATTTTTAATTAATGAGAAATGAAAATTGGTTCAAACTGCTTTTGGTGAAATTATAATTTTTAATTTGGTCTTATTTCATATTATTTTCAGAATGTCATTTGAGCTGTATTATTAATAAAAGGAAGCTATAATTTGAATTTTGTTGAAATTGTTTGATATTTAAATGATATTGACCAGTAATTAGTCTGTTCATCTAGATCCTTTCAATTAATTATTTAAAATAATTTCAATTGCTCTATATATCTTGGTTTCATTCTACATGGCCATTTAAATTAGTGTCGTTCATTTAATTAGGAATTATGTGTTAACAACTAGATTGTGTTGATTGACAGATGGTGTCAACTTCTCTCTGGAGTCTTGTGATTTATTTGTTTGTCTGAAGTGACTGCAAAATACCATCATGTTTTATTTCGATGCTGGTTCTTCATTTCATTGCCGTATCCCACTTGTATATGTGAATGTATCGTTCATTTCACTCAACTAGTAACATTGATTCATAGTATTATTTATTAACCCAAACTCCTTTGTCAGTGTAAATGATTTTAGTTTCTATAAAACTATTTTAATAATCAAGAAACTAGATAGTTATTGTGAAATAACAATGAACCACAGTGAAAACACCCCTGGCTTTATACCGTAAGAATCATGGTCAACTCTTGTCTTTTTCTACTCAAAATAAGCTAATCTGCACTCAAATTCTTTGCATACTTGACTGATAAAGAAAAGCCTGTTTTTGGTTTATATAGATAAACAATTTAAGAAATAAAGACAATGACAAGCAATGAGATTTTTAGCACTAGACTTTTGTGTCATCAAAAAATGCTCAGTAAATATTTAAGACAAGCCCTAAATGAATCTACATACGTATGTACATGTACGTCACTGTTGTATGCAAATTACATCAATTCTAGCAAAGTCTAATACATTCTTAGTTTGTGCAAGAAGGTCTCTAGTGCTAGTGTCAAATAATGGCTATGTTTATTTGAGTTCGGTAGTCGGGGGGAAAAATCAGATATGTTCAGCTGGGTGTGTGATCACTTTAGGAAATTTTACATTGCTTGCTTTAAGGCATGTTTTATTTATGTCACTTCAAAATCAGCCTGACTGACTTAGTGTTAATCTAAACCAATCTGGGTGTTCCCTACATCAAACTAAGCATGAGCAAATATTCTGAATATTTTAATTTACATACCACCTACACACTACTTGTCACTTTAATCATTTAGCTACCATGACAACAGTGATAGATGCACAGTTTACACAGTACTGTAAATCATTTAGTTTTTGTTGCTAGGAATTTTCCCGATTTTATGACACTCTGATGGAGACAAAATTTTGACACTCAGGGTGTTGTCTGACCCAAAAGAAATTTTCGTAGTGACAAAATATTTCTTTTAAAATTTAAGCGAATTGAATTATTTAGTCTGCATTGTGATGCTTTCTGAATAAATTCAGATGTTGTTTTTGTATTTGTTGTATCTTCTGTCTTTGTTTTATGTGGAAAAAAAACAAGTGCAAGCGTGTACAGTACATTTAATTTTGTTACAGAAACCATATTTAATATTTGGGCTGGGTGGCCATTTTCATATCATAATTGCTTCATAGCAGTAATGTAATCAGATATCCCCTGCGTCATCAATGCTCTTTGGAACACAAGCACCATCAAAGTTGCTTTCATTAATGTGGCTCACTCCTCCTCAGAACCAATCATTCATGAGTCTGATGCTGCAATCACCAAGTTGCCAGTGGTTAGTAACATTACAAATGCTCATATAGTAAAAATTAAAGCTAAAACTCCCCATTATTCGTGCATTCACTAGTTGCTGTCTTCGAGCGATACGTATAAACAGTGATTTTTGTAGAGCAGAATCTCTCCTTGCAAAAATTGATTATTACAGTAATTGCTGGAACTGACATTTATACTCCTTGAAGCAATGTTTTACACGATGAGGTGAAGCAACTGGTTGCCATGATTACTGATAAGGCAATGTTTGCATGAAATGAGTGTTCACTGTAATATGAAAGGGGAGGGGGCATATGTATTGCGGGTGGATGAGTTTGGATATGTACAGAAACCACCTGTTAATCTGTAGAAAATCTATACAAAACATCATGGAATGTACATGTGTAAGTGTTCCAAAATTCATAATATAGATTTGAGAGGCACATAAAATTATATTTAATAATTGATCTATTGTTCATACTTATTTCTATTGTTATTGTATTGTTTGTCTAAAGTATATTATTTCAAAAAAATCAATTTCCTTGGTAGGTATATTGCATTTTCAATATCAGTGTCAAATAACAATTTGATTTCACTGTCGTTTGTTTTACGGCTAGTAAATTGATGTTCCTTGTTTGATTACTTTTATGACTCTATTTGAATTTTACTACTGCCACATATTGATGCGTAACCCAAACTTGTTGTTTGGTTTTTTCTTTCACTATGGCTTGTGCTCATCTTTTTGTACTCTAATGCTCTCGCCTTTGTGTGTGTGTGTGTGGTTTTTATAGTATTAACAAAAGTATCATGCAGCAAAGACAATCACAGTACAAAGGTAGTACAAGAACAGTGACATTCTGTTCCATTTTTTCTGCAGAGTGTAGTGTAGTACAGCACATTTTAAATAGCCCAAACCTGTATTTGTTCTTTGCCGTAATAATATTTATTTTCACGTGTTGAAAATATTGGCACATTACGTCAACATCTGTGTGATTTCTGATAGAGCAATTGTATACAGCTGACTGTGACAAAATATATTGGGCACTGTGAAATCAAAAGAGGAATCATTATGTCGTGTTGTGATGTTCCGTGACAGTGTCGTGTGTGAGAATTGTCTAAAAATAAATGTATACTTGACACACTGGTATTATTTACACAACAACATTTGTCGTTCATACGTTATTGGCAGTCTGTGGTCATCTTTGTTTTGCCACACTCTGTATTGAATAGTAGTCTCTATTATAACTGGTATAACTTGAACATCAGCACAGTTGGCCTCACTGAAATAATTTCAAAACATCTAGTATTTTGTATTCTTCTACTAATGGTTGTCTGTATATATGTGTGTATAGCCATTGTGTATAAATATCTGAAGTCAAGACTATGAATGGTGTACAACAAGCTGCCAGATGTGTACATGGGGGTATTGTTTACGTCAATGGACAATTATGACTCATCCTATGTATTCAATGTTCTCTGTGCCGAGACTGGTGTGCCATTTGATGGAATTCGTAGATGACCATACTTAGATGTGTATCAGCAAATAAACCAGGTGACCACGGTCCCTTGCAACACCGAAATATGCCAGTAATTTACCTAACAGTTGGTTCTTTGTTTTTTTGTTTGTCTATCTATCTAACCGGAAAGAATTTGGTGTAAAGTTGTTATACATACGCGAAAGTAAAAAAAAAATGGTGGGTCAACCCTCTCATCCCTCCCAACCTTCTCTGCTCACCCACTCCTCCAAACCCAACCCTCCCCTCCCCTCCTACATGTATGTCTCTTTTTGTCCCTTTTCATAAAATAAACTGGTGTAATTTTTTTCTTTTTTTTTCATCAACTCTCGTCAACAATTTCCATGTGGAGAAATATGTCCATTTTGTCCGAAATTAACAGCAAAACCTGCGTTGAAACTGTTGTTGCTGCAATTCGGTGGGAACAATTATTATTCAAACCAGGCCTGAAATGATATAGCAGCTTGTGACATTGATGGATTGCTTTTGAAATAAGGAATTGTTTTAGGATTATTTTTTCTTCTATAAATGTCTAGAATCTGGGTAATCTTAGAGTTTGTTGTAATCCATGTTTCTTCTCTATATTTACATAAGATCATAGTTACCTGCCGCACATCATTAAACATACCTGCATCTTGAGTCATGTTTCATTTCACCTTTCCCGCCCCTTTACAATTTTTCTTTTGGTTTTCCCCATTTTAAAACCTTGAAGCTAAATATTATAAAATAATTCATTTCAAGTCAAAATCAACTTATTTTCAACCATTTGCAAATCAATCTGCATTCAAATAATTGGAAATTAGGCTCATTTGATTCATAATTGAAAAAAAAACAACAGAATGTTGCACCATAATTTTGACTGAAAAATGATTTTTGGATAAAAAATGATGGGGGATGTTAAAATTAAATTCTATCATTATCTATGACATTCACCATGATTGTATCTTTATTGCGATATTAATATCCTAAAAAAAATGCTTATTTATGATTATTTGATTCTTTCTCCCATGACTCATTTTGTATAATTTTCAGTAAACAATACATAGCGGCTTTGCTTTCTGATTTATATATGCCCGTCATTTAACTGTGGAAAGCT